AGACAAAAAGGTAAGCACTGCTTATGAGTCCACAAAGCAGGACGAAACAGCGGTCCGGTCACCACAAACGTTTCTATTGACATTAGTCTTTTCACTTTTCCTAATGGCTTCAATAAAGCTAAATTAAGTTTGTCGGAAAGACATAGAACCCAATCGAGGTTCGGTGAAAAGGGAAGCTTAACCGTTGGTCATGATGGACTTGGAGTACAAGATGTGCGAAGAGATTTGATGACACACTACACTGGAACATTTAACCAAAACTTGCTGATCCTCTCTCTCAGTGCATTTGCAGCATATGTACACAAATATTTCCATCGCGTTTAGAAGACCAATGTGAATGATAGAGAAAACACGTGTGAAGCTGAACAGAATTACACACACACACACGTCTGACCGACTTCCATGCATGCTTTATTTGATCAAACACATGCATTCATACATCAGCTGGACAAGTTGAGCTGACATCACCGAAAGATTTGTGTAGTTTTTTCTGTTGAACTATTGAGTTGATTATGGGGATAGGACTGCACTGAATGTCAACATATTTGCATTTGTTTTTTTTAAAATCCGTCTATGCTAATCATGTTCCATTAGGTCATCTAGTTATTTACTGCACATGGTATCCATGTATGTATAAGCAGGGGCCGTAGTTTGAACTTTCTGTTTTGTGGTTAGCTGATCAAGCGGTTATTATTTGCAATGCACGCAAACGACTCTGGGTGTAATTGTATGTAGGTTTGCTGACCTCGCTCGTGACACGCGGGCAAACTGTGATAGCGATACCTGGAATTTTGCTTTTCACTCGTCAAATTGATTCACACTCTGGCAATCCGAGCTGTCTGTAACAGCCGTCTCACGTGATTTTCATCTGTGTTTGGCATATCCTCCGCCCGAAGAGGTCAACGCTGATTACCGAGCACACTGTAAACCGTCTAATCCGGTAATTCCACGGTCAGTGATCACGAACAAACAGCACATGTGCCTACCTCCTACCCTTCGAACGAAATGGCACATATTGTTTCTTGCTCTCACCATGGTCTTATGAGAAATAGAACATTGGAAATATGAGCTCTGATCATCGCTGTGCTCTTGTCACCCCCCCCTCCCCACGACCCACGACCCACGCTCCACCACGTAAAATTAAGACAGTTTTGCATGCATTCGGACAGTTCATTATGCGTTAATTTTACATTCAGTCCAATGGCCAAAATCTGTGAATTTTACTCGATTTTCGTACACATGTTCTAGCCCAACTAGTTCACATAAGTTTCCCATTGCAAGTCTCATTGGAGGTAACCTCAGTTGAACATCTTTGACTGTTCGAATGGCAGTTTGACGGCATGCGGATGTGATGCGACGTGTGAGCCCGCTTGCTCCCCTGCATATTTGCTGTTTACAATAAACGTACTGCTTAATTAGTTGTGTACTCATCTACCTATTTAACATTCGGATACAACACATTCGAATTTTGAAGGCCTTAGTCTACGTATTAGATGGCTATTCTTGAGTTGTTCAAAAAGACTGTGAAATACCGTAACTTGCATTGGGATTAGTCTCCAGGAGAACCACAACAATTTTGTTTCAAAGTAATTCTACGGAATGATTCACATGTTTGCTGTCTATCATGCACATAACTAAACACATCAAGCACGTCTGAGGCCAAAGAAATCTCGATACAATAATGAACGAATTAACGATCTCCCAAGGAGTGAAACGCATATCGAACATCATCAACAGTGCCTGGTACCTGTGAGAAACCGAATGGACTAATCCAAAAATCCACCATCTAAACGATACAATAATCTTTATAAAGAGGAAAAAATTCTATGATTTTCATGTGGGCGGAATACTGTTAAGTTGCTCAGGCTAAGGCAGATGAATTTTCTTGAGAAATCCACAACCGGAGCCTTTGGCTAGCCAAAGCTTGACCCCCAAAGCAGCGGGGCGTTGTGCGAAAACCGCAATCCATTGGGGCCGGTGTCCAGTTCATCGGACCATACGCCGTTCGGATGGGGTCAAACGTCCAAGGTACCCGATACACCTCGATACCCAATCGAGCTGGTTACCACTACCACAAAAAAGTATACGGTGAAACACGCAAAAGATTTTGTTATCCCAGCTATCTACCATTTTCCTGTATTTAACTATTTCTCCATCTTTCCACTGTGTTCTGTATCCCGATCAACTTACCCCCCATTATTCTCGTTGATACTATTGTTGTCGCTTTGGCACCATGTTTGTCTACAAGCCAGTTTTATATATATATATATGTATATATACCACAACCAGGTAGGTGTGTGTGTGGCTCGTACACCTCTTAGTGGTTGATTCGGAACTATGGTGCTTAGCCAAACCCGCTAGGTGATCTGCCATTGGTCCACTGACCCGGATATCGGCTATTCGCGGTCAACACGCTGAGGATGGAAAATGTTTCTTTGTCGTGCTCCGTATTCCGGACTGACTGTTTCATTTTCAGTCTGACTCAGTGAAATAAAAATTCAAAAGAAAAGATCGAATTGCAATACTGCACGATTTATGTTCAGGACGATTTCGCTGCATCTCAACATGGTGCATACTGCAGAAAACACATTATTTATATGCGGATTTAGCGTGGCAACAAAGAAGAGTAAAATACAATGAAACAAACAAACATAAAAGGTGGAGGGGTTAACAAGACTGTCACCAGGGTCAGGATAAACTAACATAAAATTCTTTTTGTTGACACAAGGGGAGCTTCCATCAACTGATAGCAATCGCTTCTGCAAACCGTAGCAATCTTGCGATTCGTGACTTGTAGATAATCCGAAACGCCATGCTTCGATCGATCTAGTGTTGCGTCATCAGAAGATGTCCAGCTATGGCTAATGACGGAGTCTTGTATTTCCGACCGCTGTTTCTATGCCGCAGACCCATATCGCGTCATCCGACTTTGAACCTAATTTGGAATATGTTCAACCACACTGTTACGTAATTGTCGCCCTGTTCTGGTCGCTCCGCGCTTACATTGGAAAATAAAAAAATTTAAAAAGAATAATAATTCGTCTTCACCAGTGATTTTTCATCGTTTTTTCATGTACAGTGAGGTCAGGTGACCGTTTCCGTTGATCTCTGAATTAAAACTAGAGATTTGTAGTAGGTGATCCCCAGAACTGCTGCAAAATCGAGAACCAGACAGTATGGTTGTAGTGTTTTTTGTTTTTCTCAGAAATTTTAGGATTCTTCCGAAAAATTACATTTTCAGTCCTTAAAACCACCGACAACCATCTTGGCCAATTTTTCTCCTGATGTATGTTGTTGAAAAATGCCTATGGTGTTTTCTTGATACGTTTTTGACCTAAGCCGGGTTCAGCAATGTCTAGACGAGCTAGTGCTCACAGTCAAGAAGACCGGACGTATGATCGGGACGGAGAAAAATATTTTCCGGTTT